TAAAGCTGAAAATTCGAGAAAGCCTCCACTTGGCTATAAATATAACCAATACAACGCGCCAAGGGAAAGTATCTGTTATTAGTTTGCTATAGTCAGTGTAATAAATGTTATTGTAAATTGTATGGTTGTGTGTATATTAAAACGTACTTGTGTTAAAAAAGAAAACTGTGTATCAATCTTGTTGGCAAATATTACAAACTCACCATATATCGGCATTTATTTAAATACTAAATCCAAAGTACAATTTAACTAATTATCAGTTAACTCAATTTCAGGCCATTTAAAATTCTAATACGTAACATAAATCATTCCTGAACCAAAATCCTTACATCACCACAACATAAAAGAATCAAGAGGAATATCTAAAAATAAAGAAAATATGCTCAATAATAAAATGGAATTTAACCCAACCAATTTCAGAAGTCTTTAAAAAAAATACTTTTTTTTTGCACTATAATGCTGTTAGTAAATTTTGAGCCATCGGGAACATTTTCAAACCTGAACATCCAATTTACATGACACTCAAAACTGTTTTCTCCTTTCCTTGAGAATGACGAGCTTGGCCTGTCGAAATTAGTTGGGAGTTTTCAATTTTTTTCTATGCTTTGTTATATCTTTAATCACTTATAATAATGGTAACAGCTTGTCAGAATTAAGAATATTATTCTCACAGTGAAAAATATTTTAACTTTTATACAATGAGCTACTAAATGAACATTTACAAATAATTGATTTTGATCTTAGCTTAATTTTTATATTACTGTAAACCTTAAGAGCAATTTGTTTTGTCTCAAACAAGTACTTCATGTGTAAGTTTTTTATTTGAAACCTGTACATAAAGAAAAAACAACAATAGTTTTTTTACTTATGAGCACATTCTTCTTACAAACATGTGGAGAAAAAAATTACAGTTGTTGTCAGTTAAACTTAAGAGATTTGTGTATATTTCAAATATATGATGCAGTTCATCTAACTTATCAGTTTCGCTTTAATTCAAAACAACAGAAAAATGTATATATGCCTTTGAACACATGGTCTATGTAAGTTGGACTTTAATTTCTCCAACATTTTAGAAGACCTTACATTTAACTATTTAAGTAGACTTCATGAAATTTACTTTCAATAGGTTGTTTCAAAACCTTAATGGTCATACAATTATCAATATGATATACCTTACCTTCCTACTGTATGTACATGTCTGTCTATGATCCCAGGCCTGTCTATACAGAATAGAAAGTGTGAGTTTTTCTTTAGAAGCTGTATTATAAATGTTTTCCTTTCTGATTAATGGTGATAGTACAAACTTTCTCTTGTCAACAGATGTACTGGAAGCTTAATAACAAAGTCATTTAAAACTGTGCTCACTTTAAATCAATCAACTGTATGTATGCAAAATCATGTTCAATATTCATCTTGTATTACTGGGTATAAATGTTTTTGGTATAAAAGTGTATTGGTTTCATAAATCTTTTTTACTGCATTCATATTTCATATACCACTCATTTATTGGGTTCAACGCCATCTTCATCTTTTCTGTACTCATTTATCAAGTTTATCATTTTGTTCATCTTCTTTTGCACTAACTCTGACATAGAAGGCAGAATTAAATTTTCTTCTGATTTTGATGTGTGGTGGTGCCTTCTCATGGCTATATGGACACTGTCAAAAACAAATTTCCATAATTACTATTAAGTCACCACGGTGAAAGCATTAGAAATTACTGAATTTAAATTACATTGGAACATTTAATGAAACAGTCCTATTGGAAAATATTCATAAAGTAAACTTAATTTTCATACAGTTTGTATACATAAATCTAAAACTGTTAATTACATAAATATATTTACATTAATAAAAGCTGTCAAGATTGTGACACTTCTACTGAAAACTGTTTATGTTGCTTATATATATATATATATATATCCTTCATTAATAATAAGCTGACCAAAAACATAACATAAAAAGATAGATAATGTGAATGTAGTGACAGATACAGTTAACAGTTGAAATAGAGCTCATCAATGAAATAAAAAAGCCTAATAGGTTA